TTGGTACTAATATTGTTTAGACAAGATATCATGACTACATCTTGTACTCTGAATAACTACTACAAAGACAACAATATGCAATGTATTATTGTAACTGTTCTACTAACCTGTTTTGAAACTGTTTCATTGCTATTTTATCTTTTTTCTCATTAAAATGAATAAAGAAATAAAGTTTTTTTCTTGTTTTTGAAAAAAATAAAGTTAAAAAATTAAATTAAAAAAGAAGTCAACAAGCTAAGGCAGGTGGATTGCTGTGAGTTTGAGGCCATCCTGAGCTACATAGTAAGTACAAAGCCTGCCTATACTACATAGTAAAACCTTGAATGTAAAATGAAGTAAAACAAAACAAAACAAAATAAAATAGTCTAATGTCTTCTACAAAAAATAACTTTTTTAATGAGCAGAATATATTTATTGAGAGAAAGAAAGCTCCTGTCCAAGAGAGGGACAGGATGGGGGGTAAAATTCCTATAATTTTGACTTTTTTTTACAGTAAAGAAATCCTTTAATGCTCAGTGCAGGAGGGCTGTGAAAGAACTGTCTTCAATTTTTGATTTTGTTTGGTGATCTTATAAATGTTGTTTTGAAATGTTCATTCTCTAGCTATTCATTCAAAGGAAGCACCCCCAACTCAAGGTCACAAAGGTTTAGCCATATTTTTTTCTCAGTAACTTTGTCGTTCTAGTGTCTGCATTTAGGCAGGTCCTGTTCTGAGTCAGTTTGACTGCAGTGTGAAGCTGGAGTCTAATTTTACATGGATCTCCAGTCACTGTGTGGTATCCAGTTGTTCCAGTGGCATCTGTGGAAAAGGGCATTTCCCCACTGAACTGCCATAGAGTCATGTCAAAAAATAAGTTGATCATACATTGTTTTCTGACTCTCAATTCCATTTCATTTGATACGTTTATACCTATGTCATTACCATGCCTCTCTGTTGTAAGTTTTGTAGGTGGAAAATGTGGATCCTCCAACTTTGCTATTTTCAAATTGCTTTGGTTTTTCTGTTTTTTTTTTTTAACATTTCCATATGGATTTTAGGAGTATCTTTTCTTGTCAGATTGTATTAAATGAAAAAGAGAGAAAAGACAGCAGGGATTTTAAAAGAGTCTGCATTGAATCTATAGGCCAATTTGATTTTTTTATTGCATATACTTAAAGTGTAAACATGATGTTTTAATATACTTATACACAGTGAAGTTATTACTGCAGTAACGAGCATATCCATCTTCTCAATAGCTGTACTTGGTGTGTGAGAGGGGATAAGAGCACCAAAGATCTCTTCTTTTGAGTAAGTTTCCAGTACGCAATCACTGCGGTCCTCATGTTTTACATTATACCTCTAGACTTATTCATCCTACACTTTGATCTGTACCTCATTCCTTCCCTGCTTCGTACTGCTACTTTCATTCTATTTCTATGTATCCAACTTAAAAAAAGATTCTCATATAAGGGAGATTATGCAGTACTTTTATTTCTGTGTCTGGCTTACTTCCCTTAGCATAATGTCTTCCAGGCTCACCCATGTTTCCACAAATGGCAAAATCTCTTTCTTTTCCAAGGCTGATATTCTCTCTTTTTATATCTATATACAGATTTTTATCTATCTCCATCTCTATCTCTATCATCTCTATCTATCTCTATCATTTCTCTCTATCTCTGTCTCCATCTCAAATCTATCTACTCATAAGGTCAACATTGACCCTAATCATTGAATTTGATTCAATTTTTTGTCCAACTCAGCTTGTGACCAGAATCATGGAAAGTATTAAGTTCAGGAAGCAAGACCACAAATTGTTATCCATTCATCCACTGATGAGCATTTACACTGCACCCCTATCTTAGCTCTTGCAGACAATGCCCCATTGAACACTGGAGTGTAGACATCTCTATGAGGTGCTGAGACTTACTTCCTTTGGGTATATACCTGACAGAGAGATTTCTGGGCCATATGGTAACTTCATTTCTTAAGTCCCAGAGAAACCTCCACGGCACTTTCCATATGATTGCACGGACTTGCCCTTGCATAGTGTAGAAATTTCTGCTTTCCCTAAGCCCTTGTTATTGCTTATCTTTTTGATAATAGCCATGCTAACAGGTATGAAGTAATATTTTACAGAGGTTTTACTCTGATGGTTTGTGATGTGGAGTACATTTTTATGTACTTCATAGGCATTTTCATCTTTGGAGCAATAAATACTTTTCCATACTTTAATCTTTAGTTTTCTTTTTTACTGTTGGGTTCTGTAGCAACTTGGGGAAGTATTGCCCTTCTAACAGTATCAGGCCTTTTGACTTATAAACATAAGATGTCTATATTTTTTAGGTTTTTTCAAAATGTTTTATAGTTCTCTATGTGTGATTATTATGGTTGCATTGTAAAAAATACTTTTTCCTAAGTATTTTATTATTTTTGATGCTATCATAAATAGAATATTTTTCTTAATATGATTTTCTAAATTTTCATTGTTAGTGCAGAGAAATATGATTTTTGTACATGAATCTTATAGTCTCTAGCCTTGCTAAATTTATTAGTTCAATAGTTTATTTTTGTGGACTAATTAGGATTTTTAAAAATACACCAGGTCATGCTATTTGCCAGTAGAGATCACTTGTGTCTTCTTTTCCAGTCTATTTTAATTTCATTTTCTTGGTAAATGGGCATGCCTAAACTCTCTAGTAAAATGTTGAATAGAAATGGGATGGGGCCGGCCAAATAGCTCAGTGGATTAAAGTGCTTGTAGGCAAGTACAGGGCCTGGGGGTTTGATCCCCAGGCCTGCTGTGCTGACCCTGCCCCCAGGCCATGTTTAGAAGTCCGTTGAGACTGGGTGTGGTGTCACACGCCTGTAATCCCAGATCTTGGGAGGCTGTAAACAGGCAGATCACTACGAGTCCAATATAGTAGTGAGACCCTGAATACCCTGTAGACCATTCCCTAAAAATACAAAAAAAAAAAAAAAAAAAAAAAAAAAAAAAAAAAAAAAAAAGAGAAGTGGGATGAACATTTTCACTTATTCTTAATTTTAAGGGGAAGCATTTCATCTTTTATCATTAAGTATGACTTAGCTGTGCTTATCTCCTTTCTCAGATTGAAGAAGTTCTATTTTTTGAATGTTTTATGACAAAGGGATGTTGGAGTCCATTATATTGTTTTTCTGCAAATATCAAGATATATCTTTTCCTTTTTATTCCATTAATACTGTGTGTTCCATTAACTGGTGTTTGGATATTAAGCCAACCTTACATTTCTTGGATAAATCCCACTTGGTCATGGTATATAATTTTTTTAATGGCCACTTAAACTTCTGCTTGGCTAGCTCAGGGTTCACTCAAGTATTAAACAGAAGTTTGGGGGAGTGCCTTAATGTTCAAATGGTTTATAATTCTGTGCTTGCTTTTATTTCTTCCTTACATAGATCCTGAAAGGAAACCAGAGGTGAGAAATTAGGGTTTCTCAGCTATCTCCTGTGTATGTTTACAGTCCCAGCCATGAGCGTGACCTTCTAAGTCCAAACAATATATATGAAGCTTTTAAAGCCTTTTATGGACCCTCCTGAAAGCCCTCTCTGGACACTTCATTCCCTACATTTTCCTTTTGAAGGTTTTTCTTTTTCTTTCTTTTTTTTTTTTTTTGCCATAATTTTATTGATAAACAAATAGCAATGAAACAGTTTCAAATCAAATCGGTAGGACAGTTTCAATAATTAACACACTGCATACATTCTTCCTAGTGGTTAATTGCTGTACATGATGCGGACTTGATATCCTATTTACAAACACCATTAGAACAAATCCCTCTATTCATTAAGAGAATGTAACTATATATCTATCCTAACCACTTTGAATACACAG